AAACCTATAATATGATATAATTTTATTTGTTTTTTATTTTTTTAATATATTTTATTTTTAAAAAACATAAAAAATTATGACAAATTATGAAATATTTTAAATAATTGATGAGAATCAAATTTTCAATCAATTGAATTCAAATACTATAACTTGAGATAGATTCATTAATTTTGAAAGCTTGGTTCTTTTAATATATTTTATTTATATATTATAAATTTAAAATTTATGATCTCTTCTTAGAGAGAAAGATTATAATTAGATTATATAAGTCTTGATAAGAATATGGAAGCGAGAATTAATTATAGAATGATATTTTGTTTATAATATGGGTATTTAAAATTTTTTTGCTTAGTTAATTCTAGGTGTACACGCTAAAAAAGAAAAGTTTGAGTACTTATTAAGCAATCCATGGGGTAGGTAAAGAGCAAATCTTTACCCGTCCGTTAAAACTACTGTATGTATTTATATCGAGATTGTGATAAATGGATTTGAACCTGCATCTGTGACTGTTGATAAATCTTAAATAACATTCCAACTACCTCAGCAATCAATATTAATTTATTTTTAGTGGAATTAAAAATTTTTGAATTTAAGTTATAGGCATATGAAATAGGTTAAAAAATTAGAGATAATTATTTTTTATTGTATAATTCAATATAATATATAAAAAAATAGTGTTTGTCAATTAGATTTTTAAAAAATTAAAAAGAAAAAAAATTAAAACTAAACTCTTATTAAAAAAATTAAAATAACTTATTCTAAAATCAAATTTTAGTTTTTTTTTGAATTTTTCTTGTTGTACTTTAATAAAATGACATAATTTTAAAATATATATTTTTTAATTTTTTTAAAAATCTGGTTGACAAACAATTTATCATTTCTAGCAAAACACAAACAAATAGGGAAAAAATTTTGAAAAATAAATATTTACTTTCAACAAATGATGTTGGATGATGTTATTGTTAAAGTCTTAAACCTTGGAATGTTAATATTACCATAACTGTTGGAACGATTATCTAATTTTTTTTCCTTTGGAATCGAAAGTTGCTTGTGAACATGGTGATTTAGAGCCTTTTTAGGGCCTGTTTGGTGTGACTCTTAAGAGTTTCAGTTTCTGGTCACTATTTATATTTCATGAATTTAAATTTTCTTTTTAAAAACTTATATTTTTAAATATTTTTTTAACTTCAAAAAGTTCTTAAATAATAAAAATTCAAAAATTTCAAATTCAAACTTTTCATAAACTCTCTTTTTACTCACTTTCACTCACTTTTTCAGCTTTTTAAAAGCTAAAACTCTATTTTTCCTTCTAATAAAAATTTAAATTTACCACTCATAACAGTACTCAAAAAGCACAAGCTCCCACAAACCATACTAGACTGAAAAAGTGAGTGAAAGTGAGTAAAAAGAGAGTTTATGAAAAGTTTGAATTTGAAATTTTTGAACTTTTATTGTTTAAGAACTTTTTGAAGTTAAAAAAATATTTAAAAGTGTAAAATTTTAAAAGAAAAATTTTAATTTATGAGACATGAATAGTATCCAAAAGTTGAAATCCTAGGAACTGATCCAAACATACCCCTAATTTCTTACTGTGATTTCAGATTAAAATTCAGCTTGAAAATGTTAATACCATTCTAAAAAAAAACTTTTATTTTG